GTCCCCGGAAGGATGGAAGGCTTGGTGGGCCATGGACGCGGGGATTGACTTCACGTGTGTGTCGCAGTGGCGCCTCGAACCCTTGCGCCATGTGCGCTACAGCAGTATATGATATGAAATACAACCCGTATGATGCTGCGATGTTTGCAAAACTTGGACCACATGCCAGATCCGAACCCGTGTCCTTTTCGAGAGCTTACGTGTTGCCCACCACACCACTGAGGCACTTGCCTAACCTTTCTCTCAACCATTTCATAACCTAACAATGCCTTCGGCATTCATCCGTCAATAGGACTGATCTGGAGTGCATAAATCAGCATCCATTCCAGTTAGCTGGAGCAGAAGTCGAAATTAAATGGTATAACCTCAGAATGCGTCGTTTTCTTGTTCAGCAATCGCGAGGTTTTTAAACAGCATACATTTACTTCCATAGAAAAACACAATACAATACAACGCTAGCTGACGTTTCGGCAGTATCGCCTTCTTCAGAGCCTGGAAGGGTATGCTGATATACAATCTACTAGGCCAAACGCTTCAATAACACTTACACAAAGACGAAAGACTCTTTGGTAATTACACGACCAACAACTTCTCGAAAAACCCACCGCTTTTTTCGTGACTTCCAATGAGGAAGTTTAGAACAGCTGATTATGGTCGCATGTGGTTGAGGACTGCACCATCCCACATCAAAAATCGATGCGAACATACGGGATCAGGTCGCGCATGACCTCCGGGCATTCATCCCTGCTATTCATTTTAGGGCTTTTGGCATTGATCCAAAAAGCCTCAAGGAGTTTTCGCGCTGGTGTTTTGGACTCCTGTGCAAGGATATTGACTTTTACTTCAAAATCGTCTCCGCTATGCTTTTGTATCCTATGCGTGCCTAGTGGGGTGCTTCGTCTTAGTTTTCGTTTGCCATCTAGGTGTTCTTTTACACGGATACACAAAGGTCTGCCCGTTTCGCCAATATATTCATCTCCGCAATTGTTACACGAGATCAGGTTTATCGTACCTGAACTCATGCAATCACCGTCCCTGCCGGAAGGGCAAATTACGCAATTTGTTGTTTCACACAGACGGTCATACAGGCGGTTGCGAACTAATTGGCGACGTAGAGTAGCCGGTGGTATTTCAACTATCGCTACCGATTCCTCTAGACCTGCCCTTCTTAAGCATCGTTTTATAGCTGCATTTCATCGCTTAGAAAAGGCAACATAAACGGGACTTTCTTTTGGCCAAGTGTTTCGAGTGGGCGCGTCGCTCTCCTTTTAAGCTTATCTCGTGCGGTAACTATTTCGTAGCCATTGGAGATGGCTATTTGCCGAGCCAAGTCGCGCGATTCTTCCTTTAGTTCCCTGGTAGTGCACACAGAGGTGGCTGTTCGAAACATGTTTCTCACAATCGCCCTCTTTGTGTGTGAAGGGTGGGAAGAAAGGAAATGGACAAGAATGTTCTTGTTACTTGGCTTTCGATACCACATTGTCAGGTAACCGCTACTTGATAGGTCTATTTGAACGTCCAAAAACGGAAGCCAGTTTTCTCTCGGTTTCTCCCGGGTGAACTTTATGTTCTCGGACTGCTCGTTCGATAATTCAAAGCATTTGTCCATCTCCTCCTGCGTAGAGAAGACGACAAAACAATCATCTACATATCTGCAGTAGAGTAGTGGCCGGAGATGGAGAACAGTGACTTCTATCTTAGACATAAACACAATGGCCAGGCTTGGTGCCAATCGCTGTCCCATTGCCAACCCCCTTATTTGCGCGAAATATTTCCCAGACCATCTGAAAATCGAGCAGTTTAGGCACTCCTTTAAGAGAGCCATTAGGTGCTGGATGGACAAGCCATGCATATTTATTCTTCCTTCATGTTCAACAAGAAGTTCTAAGATGGCTTGCATTGCGGAGTCATTCGACACGTTGGTGTACAGTGCGGTAACGTCGAAAGACTCCATCACGTACGTGTTATTAGGAGACGCGTTACGTAGACGTTCTAGGAACATTTGGGTGCTTGTGAGGTGAGCTGGAATGTGGTTAAGCAACTGGGTAAGTATCAGGCTTAAAAACCAGGTTATTCTATCCGTTGGCCCGTCTACACAGCTGTTGATCGGTCTAACGTTAAATGATGACGGATTGGTTGACGCATGATCATCAGGTGATACCAACTTATGTGTTTTAATAAGTAAGTATAAGACGGGACATGTTAGTCTATCGATTTTAAAGTGCGAAATAACCGATGATTTTAAACCCGCAGCCTTTGCCACGCTGACCCATTGATTGTTTAGTTTTCGGTGTTGACTTTTATATTCCTTTTCAGAGGATGGGCGATAGAGAGTAGCATCACTAAGGTGTTCCTCTGTTATCTCAACATCCAGCTGGCGAGAGATAACTACGAACTCTCCCCCCTTATCACTAACAGACAATCTTATTGTTTTCGAGTTTATGGAAGGTTAGAGATAATCTCTATCCCGGTAATGATCAAGTGTTTTGAGAACGCCGTCCGAAAACACGCGAAATTTTATGTCAACTCCATCGTTAGGGTCCTGCTGTCTAAAGAACGTTTTAGGGAAAAGAGATGGTGGTAGTGTCGCCGCCTCTTGGTTTTTATCTCTATTTGATGTTTCTTGCTTGGCCTGATAGCGGAGTCGATCTTGAAGCTCATTAAGGTTGCATGCTATCCTACGCAGGGTCGTTTTAGAAATGGGCAGTGATGGTGCAAAACTTGGGCCCAATTCTAATAGCGAGCACGCATTCTCAAGTATTGTTATGCCCCCAATCACAGTGACCCTAGATTTTCATGGTGCATTATCAACCCCATTTTGACTATTATCAGAAGCGTAAGGAACTCGTTTGCTGTTGTTTCTTGAAGCTGAGGCATGTGAATTACCCAAAAGATTTTCGAATTGGCGATAGGGGGCTCCATCACGAAGAAGGCGATATTGCCGAAACGTCAGCTAGCGTTGTATTGTATTGTGTTTTTTTATGGAAGTAAATGTATGCTGTTTAAAAACCTCGCGATTGCTGAACAAGAAAACGACACGTTCATAAACAGAGCTTTCTTTCGGCCAAGTGTTTCGCGTGGGCGCGCGCTCTCCTTCTAAACTTATCTCGTGGGGTTACTATTTCGTAGCCATTGGAGGTATAACCTTGAGTAAAGTATAACCTTTATTTATTACCTATTCTTTTTTCATGGCATTGTATAATGTGATGCTGAACTATGTGCGAAACTCGTCGGAATCTCACATAGCTTACGGAAAGGTAATCGTAGGCCCAAATCTGGCCTGAGATCCAAGTTTTGCAAATATCTAAATGGATAACCACTTGAATGAAAGACGTGTTGTTTACAACCATCTTGATATTCACTAAGTCAAGCATACTGGAAAGATTGCCGTAACACTGACATATGCAAATGATGGCTTCACAACTAGAACTCTCTTTCCATTGAAAATAGTAGGCACCTAACGGAATGTTGCAGTACTAGTTGGAAGTGACTGAACATCTTTGCAGAACATCTGGACATCTGACGTTGACATTGAATGGTTCACGCGTGACGATCGCTGTTGGGTTTTAACTTTAAAATCTTCTACTCAAAAAAGCAGACATTTACAAAAATCATCCTCTACTTAGCACTTGAAGTAAGAAGGAAATTGTCTCCCTGGCATTATGATGGCGTAAGACATAGTACACTAGCTAAGACACTTTCATTTTCAAAGTATGTTGTTAGATCTGTTGAAAAGATCGTGGTTTGCTCATTCTATATAGAAGGAAATCGAAGTTGTTGCAATCTGAATCTGGCTTTAATACTTGTCAAGCATAGCGCAGATCGGGCTTCAAGGGGAAGAAAATCTTCGTGGTTTCCTGGATTTTTATGACTATAGTCGCGTTAATCTGAATTGGCGGTGATCAACTCCGTTGTCGCGACCTTGATAGTTTTGGAAGTTTCTGATCCCAATGGGAAGCTTCACCGCAGTTTGAGGTTTTGGGGTACGAATGTATGATATCTGAATAAAACCTTCTGCCATATACACAATAGCAATGACTTATTCCCGAATGCTTTCAACAGAGCTGATTTTGAGCAGTGCAGTTGTAATGATTCTGTCAACAGCATCTGATCACACATGCAAGTGTTGGGAAGTTCCAACGGCACTCACATCCGCTAAAAATCAGGGTTCAAATCCGATACAAAATACTTGAGTATCTTCATTTTCACCAACGAAACAAATATCTGCTCGTTCTAGTCTAAAAGAACTACAGATTGCCGTACTTTGCAAATGCCCAGAAGCTAACTTCAACTTCACGTTCACTTTCGAATCGTCTCCTCCATTAAAATCTTCTAAAAATAGAAAATAAAAGTAGGGTTCTCCTAAGTTCCAGCATAGGGTATGAACAATAGTTTCTTTTGTCAATCTATTCAACTTCTAAATTATTCGGAAATCATAAAGGCGGTGCAGTTTTATCTCATGAATACCTCGTCTTACTGATAACAACAGTGAACACAGAAACAGTTCTACTTCGCTGGAGAGAAGTAGGTACGTCACCGTAGATTAGGCACAGTGATAATTATCCTCCCATAATAAAACCTAGATCTACGCCTATGATACAGGGAAACAGGCAAAAGGAAAAAAAATGCTTAAAAATTCAGCATTAAGAGTGCTACCATTGAAAATGTACATTCTGTAACGAACTCGTCATAAAAGCACGCACAGACTTGTATGATTTCCTATGTAAATAAATAAAAAAGGTAAAAGAAAAGACATGTTTCTTATCAAGTCAATTTACACAATCTAGCAAAGGCTTTCTGCATTGAAACAACAAGAGCATAGATATATTTGACCGAGCTTCATAAGTAGACTTACGTGGTTAAGGGTTCGCACTTAGCCCTAAGAGTTTCCACTTAATAACCCTAAGGATTCCCACTTAACTCTTCTATGTAAAGATATAAAAATAACCAACCAAAAACATTCTAAGCAACAAGCAAAGAGTCCAGTTAAATTCTTTTCCTTATCCTCCTCTATATATGGCGAATATTAAGGGTATTGTAAATGCTACTGCAGCGTATAGAGCAACTACTGATAGCAGAGTCTGGAGCTTCATCCTGGATTCGAGATTCTTCTCTGTTTGATCCAGAAGTCGTTCCATGTCGCTGCCAACATAGACCTGAAGAAACCATAATAAAAACAATAAAATAAAAATGGGAATAAAAGTTATAATAAAAAAGCAAAAGGATTAATTACAAGCTAATGCGCAAGATCCCAAAATGTTAATACAGCTCTTTCCTCAACAGCTGACTGTAATTTTTTAACAACGACAGAATTTGAGCAGTTGAGAGCTCCAAAGGGACAAATCACCTATCGATCTAACTGAACATACAATTTTTACGAAACAGCCTCTCAAGTTCAAATAAACTGAGAACTAAATTTTAGACTCCAGAAATTTCCAACGAAAGCTGGCAAACATTAACGCTACATAGTGGAGTACCACAGAAATGATTTGTACATTTTAATGGTTCTTGTTTCAATCAAAAAAGTTCAATATGAGTCGTCTTAAGGTTGGAAAAGGCCACTACCTTCGCACCAAATACACTGCATTCAATCTACATTAGGCATTGTGTTAAACAATTTCTGGTATTAAAATGATTACAGACGAGTTGATATAGCAGCCCACATAAAACTCTAAAAGCTCTTGGCGTTGACCAATCCGTGAGGGATGTGCCATGCATTCAACTTCATTGGCAGCGTTGGACGTGAGTGAATGCATCTCTGGCCTTTACAATGACTCGTCGGGGTCTACGGATGCATCGAACCAGTGCTGATATCCTCCCAGACAAGTCTGGCACCAATTTGCCGACCCCGGAGGTACGGAAGGCTTGGTGAATCCAGAATCGATCGCATGTGTATTGCGGGGTGCCTCCGACTACTGCCCTACACGTGCCCCTTCAAAACACTATATACCTCTAGAATATGCAAAAGAACCGATCATGCGTACTCCTCAACTGTGAGCACATATTTCTTACTGGTCACGAATTTTCAAAATGACGTTTGAACACGTTTGAACAGAAATTAATTTTCGCAGTTTCCAAATACATAGCACTTAGAGAAAGTGTACACACTATCGTGCGCAGCGTTGTTAGAGCTACAATGATTACGGACATGTAATAAACCGGAGAAATCGGTCTGCAAGTGTAAAGCAGTTAATAAATGAAAAAAGAAGTAAATACATCGAAAATGTTAAAAAGAAACACTAACCACAGCATTCGGATCAACACTGAGGCTGGATTCGAGACGTGCTAACCTTGTCAGTTCACTCATTTGAGCAGAAAGTTTAGCGTTTTCTTCACGGATTGCAGCTACAGCCTAGAAAATTTTAACACTGTAGTTAACGCAGGTAGCAGAACAGTTATAATTGAAAACGCTAGAACATCACTTTCATTGCAAATTCACCTTCTCAGCACTAACATTTTCAAAATGCAACTTATGTGAAGGCTCTTCAGAAATGGAGTGCAATCTCAGGATATCACGCATCTCCGCTATAAAACCTGTGACCTAAACATCAATTAAACATCATCATTGCCTCCGTTAACACAAAAACAGAAATATGTGCAACTTTTCAGCAATAGAAACACACAGTCACAATGATGTGGAGATATTTGCGAAACTTCAGACTGCAGGTGTTTGGACTGTGTTCGGTGGGGAACGAACAAGCTGCTGCCCTTTCCCAGGGCTAATGCGTTCACCATCACACCATGCGGGCCCTTCGTTTCGCCTTTCTCTCAGATAGTTTTCTATCTACCAGCGCCATCAGCGACCATCCATCGGCCGGATTGATCTGGGAAGCAGAAATCGGAACTGAACCCGGCTAAGTTGAAGGTGTACTATGAATCACAATGCAGTTACTTCTTATCTAAAAGGCTGAGAGAAAAGTCAAACGAGGAACCCGCATGGTATGGTCGTGAACGCGGGTGCCTCCAGAAAAGGGTAACAGCGTGTTCGATTTCCACCCCAGGTACCTGCGCTCCGGAGTTTTATAAATATCTCAGCATCATTATGGCTACACAATACACTTCCGTGAAAATTGTAGTAGGAAGTAAATAAAAAAGTTGGCAAGCACATAACTTTCTAAAACAAGCTAGAAACAAAGCAAATAACCGTAAAAAGCAAGAAGAAACCTTCGTATTCTGTTCTCCAATAAGCCGAGTCAATTCACTCATTTGAGCACCACCTACAGGTAGCATTTCACGCAGTCGCCGCATACGCAATTCGTTTCCTGTGTGGTATATGGTGTAGAGAGCCTTTTCATTTAAATCATGGAAAAATGAAAACAAATGTAGGGTAAAAATACTTAACAGTATTAAATGTAGAGCACGGACAGGTTGATTTACCTATAGATGCCCCAGCAATACCTATTAATGCACCAATTAGCGAAGCACTGACTGACCACCACTTCGTTTTCTCCGCTTGTTCTCGTTCTCTTTCGTGTGATGCCCGTACTCTGAAATAACAGTTAAAGTGATAAAAGGAACAAAGTAGCCGTAGTATCCAACTATTCCACAGAAAACAAAAACAACCTGTTCGACAGCTGATAGAAAGCTTCCCGTTCAGCAGCTTCTAGGCCTTCAAAATCCTCTAATAAAATACGTTCTTTTTTAATTGCAGCGTGCTCTTCAGTTAATAAATGAAGATACCTAAACCAGTGCTTCAAAAATACAAGACACAATCAGGACCAAAAAAATGCTTACTTATCCTCGCTTCTACTTGTTCTATCAAGCTCAGCATGGATTTCCTTTAAGCGAGATTGTACACTCTTGATCTCTGCTTGTTTATTCCGTCTAGCTAGCTGTGCCTGACTTAGCTTTTCTTCCCACTGAAGCAACAGCATCAAAGTAGTGGAAAAGGTAAGAGAAATGCTGATTGATAGAAACAAACCATCATTACACCAGCATGAGCTTCTTTAACTGCTTTAACGCCAATGAAATCCTCGTAGGATGACACCAAAGCATCAATTCTATGCCTAAAAATGTCACCCCTTTTCACTCATTTGGGCGTTTTACCGTCACAGACCGAACATTCTTGTATTTTTATTGCGATTAAATAAACAATGGTCGTTGTTGCCCAGAGGCACGGAAACCTATCAGCAGCAGGACTGCTTATTGGTTACCAAGTGAATTGATTTCAGCGCATTTCGTTCACCGATGTTTTCTTGCTACATAAAACACGTTGTCCGGGGTGGTCCGAGGACACTAATTATCTTCAAATTAGAGTTCACTAAACAGTTATTTGAACAAATGGCTCCATGAGCTCCCTAGCGATCCTTATCTTAGTGGAAAGGTATAAGGGAAGATATAGGTGGTGAGGACACCAAGACTTCCCTCGCACAGTTTTTTCCGAGCCGTAAGAACAGATGCTTCATGAGTTATTTGACGATCGCTATCTTACCGTAAAAAAGGTGTAATGGAAACCATAAGTGATCAGAACATCAAAACATCCCTCCCAGAGAAGTAATTTGGAGCGTAAGCACTGACTCCAACGCATATAGTGCAAAGCAGAAAATAGGTGCAATCCCGTACCGCACCCATCCAGAAATAGGTTTTGTCGAAAATACTTTAAAGCTTCCGTATCTCTATCAATGTCAATATTTTCGTTATAAACCTTCGTCATTTAGAACGGAGATTTTGCCATTACGAAATCTGTTCCGGAAGCTCCTAACAGTTGAACACACCTGAGACCAGACAAAGCTGTAGCCGAAGAAGCCATAGGGACAGAGGAAACAGCACGATATAATCTCCGAATGATCAGGAATTTACTGGAGCCTCGAAACATTGTTAGTTATAGACTTCGTTTTGTAGCACTTGTCAATCAGCTGCAAGGGATATCTTCAGATATAAGCTCAGTGCGATTGGATGCTAAGAAGATGACAAAATATGTCCAATCTTTATTACAAAATTGCAATATCATTGCTTAAGATTTGTATAAGCATTTTATGCGCTCTACATCGGCAAACACAAGAGATTTGTTGAAGCCTAACTTCATTCTTGCTAGCATAAATCAGAATAGGAAAGAAGACCAATTAAATGAAAAGGATAAAAAAGCCCCAAGCACTCGGCGTTGATCAACCCCTGAGAGATGAGCCATGCATTCGACTTCGTTAAGCATCGTTAGAGGTGAATGAGTGCATATGTCGCCTTTACAATGACTCGCCGTGGCCTACTGGTGTATCGAGTCAGTGCTGTTATCCTAGCAGAGAGGCCTGGTACCAATTTGACTACCCCAGAGAGACTTGATGGGCCTTGGGTGTGTGGCTCGATCCAATATGTATCGCAGGACGCCTCCGATCACTGCACTACACGAGCCCGTGCTGAACTAAGTAGTTCAGAATATGATAGTCACTAGCTGTATGTGATCTGATACATGGAAAGTTATATACACTAGTAATATATAGATTCTCCTGAGTGATCTGCATATCTTCTTTCTGAGATTGTCCTGATCATTCCGTACTCCTGTCGTCTTCAAATAGATTCACGCCATTGAAAAATGACGGTCTAAGCTTCGGTAGAGAAAAAACACCCTCACTAGCACTTTAAACATTGAAAATTAACTTGTTCCTTTATATTAAAGTGGCGCATGAAGGGAAAGGGTGATGCGTACCGTCTTCGTTTTCGAATAAAGCCATCTAACACCTGTGGAGTAGTATAGAAGACATAGCATAACGCTTTAACTTTTAAAACACGGCTGAGAGAAAGACGTGACTAAGGAGTGGCATGGTTTAGTGGTGAACGGTCTAGCCTACGGAAAGGGTAATAAAGTGTTCGATCCCACCGCAGACACCAACGGTTAAGAGTTTTGCAAATATCTCAGCATCATTGTAGTTTCAACTTTTATCACTGTCTAATTTTTTCATGGCAGGGTATTATGTAAAATATAATCAAGAAAATGTTGAGATATGAGCAAAACTCGGAACCTTAGGCGCGCTTTGAACCCGCGATTACGCTTTACGGTGGTTCACATGTTATCCACTACACCGCTGATTCCTATGCATTGCTTTCCTCTCAGCCAGAGCAAACTATCAGTGAAAAGAATGGGCTGCAAATAAAAGTTATACATTGTGATTCCGACTACAGCTTTAGCTCAACTGGGTTCGATGCCGATTTGTGTTATCCAGGTCAATCCGGTTGAGTGTTGATTGCTGATAGAAGCGCGAGGCTAAAAGACTGGCCGAGAGGAAGACAAAGCAAGGGTCATAACCGCTGAATATTTAGAAAGTACAAGTAAAACAATGTCAGTAGGGTCAGTAAGGTATACCCTTAGCTGCTACAACGTATACCCTTAGCTACTACCATCGAAAGGAACCTGTTTACGACAAAGTTATCAAAGTCTGGATAAAAAGTAATATTTTGTGAACGAAGTGCTGAACTGGAACTACGAGTGAGTCATGGATTCACAAACCTTTCATAAATATCCACGCATTATACAACGGTTTTAATACTAGAATGTCGCTTATCTGAATAGTTGCAGTCGTTATGGACACACTCCAAGTTTTTTTTTACAGCGATGGGTAGCTTGGCATAAAGATGAACTAACAAAACACAGAACTCTATTTATGACGAAACTCTCCAAACTGTCATTTAGAGAAGTGTTTAAGGTACCACCGCTTCATAGTGGCTGGGAGGTATTCCTGGGTGTAGGACTGCGATACACAGCGCGGTGGTTCCCCTGGCAGGGTCTCCCAAGCTGAGAAGGAGCCCGGCGTTTTCATCAGGAAGCCTAGCTAAGAGTAAACCAATACCAGGATCCACCACCGTCCTGGTATCAAACTAGTGGCATAGTGGCAAATCTCCTTTTGATCCACAAGAGCTGCGACTGCCTGTGGTGATGAAGACCTGGTGCAGAATTTGGCCAGGCTGACCTCGGGATTCCAGGAAGCTACAATGGCTTAACCAGAAATTTCCGAGAAATGGTGATTATGCTGGGGCCCGCACAAGCAGTGCGGAGAGTCCATCCAAGTATATATTTAAGGTACAGAAGCATTTATCATAGCGAGTTACATACCGAATCTCTTCCTAAGAGTATGGTCCCGAGAAGAAGACCCTGATGAGAACTCGGCCGTCGATAGGCGGACATTGCGGACATTTTGTGTAACTCAAGTATTAAGACCTGTCACCGTATAAACAAAGCTTCCAATACTTTCAATAAATAAAATTGTTATATTGTTAAAATTACACTAAGTGTAGTTTCTCGTTCAATTAATTGTGTTGTCCGTGTTTTCAGAAACTCACTTCCTTTACTGACCAGTTTTACACGAGGTTCCTCTATATTTGTCTTTTGGGTCTACTTATACATTGCGTATTTATTTGGAAATGGGTAAACCTTCTTTGTCAACCAGCCATCTTTCTGCTACAAAAACTCACAAGAACGATTCAGTTACCCATTTTTATGCATTCTTCCTGAAATTTTCGCCTGATATTCATCGTTGAGCTACTTTATTCTTCTCTGTAGTCGATATTTACTTCCTTCTTTAATGAGTAGTTGACCTAATGGCGGACGCTTGGAGCGTTCGTTCCAGTGTTACTAAGAAATTTCTCAAATGCCAGCATGTCATGTAATTGTCTGCGACCAGTAGGTCTTGGAAAATACTAGTTATGAAAGCTTTTAGAGTTGACGTGGTCTCAGGTATATTTTGTAATGTCCCATTCTTCTAATTATGTTGTTTTTTCTTTCAGGAACGGTACCATGTTTCGTCTTTGTTCGGGTTCTGTTCAGCTTGTGGTCACATCAGTTATCGGAGAACAACAAAGAGGATTTGCTACTCTGAAGGTTTATAGTTTTTTCTCACCCTTCGTTTTCTTATCTTTTATGTCTGTTTGCAATGCAGTTCTCTTTTTTGTCGGATTACTTATTACCGTATCTCATTTTAGGATATTTCTCTTCGCTTGAAGTCGGTTAGGAATATTCAGAAGATCACCAAATCGATGAAGATGGTAGCCGCTGCCAAGTATGCCAAGGCTGAACGGGACTTAAAGGTAAGGATACATAGACTGCAGGAATTCTGGATCTGTATTTGATTCCCAAGCGAAATTGCGGATTGATCTGTCTATTTATGTGAATCATTTGCTTATTTTCGTATAGAGACCTAGAGATCTAGATGCAAACAGATTGTGACCTCCTATTTGGTGTGTCTGCGCAGCGCAGTGGTCAGAGGCGCGCTGGAATACACGTATCGGATCGATCCCCGCTCACCTAGCCTACCAAGCCTACCATCCGTTCGGGGTCGGGAGATTGTTACCAGACTTGTCTAGAAGGATAGCAGCACTGGCTAGATGCATCGATAGGCCACCGGAAGTCATTTTAAAGGCCAGATATGCATCAAATTACCCCCAAACGATGCTTAATGAAGTCGAGTGCATGGTGCATACCTCAAAGATTGATCAACTCCGAGAGCTTTATATTTTATCCTTTTTACTTGGAGGATGAAGACTACGAATTCTGATTTTTTTTTAGTTTTGACTTGCACCGAAATCCAAAACGATGTTGTTTCTAAGGGTGCACGTGCTTATGGAGTCGGTGCGAAAGCATTTTTCGATAACATTGACCCAAAAGTCGATGAAGGAACGAAAGAAGAGAAACAGAAGCAGTTATTAGTGCTCGTTACATCTGACAGGGGTCTTTGCGGATCTGTGCATTCGTCTATCGCGAAGGTACTGGAGTTCATTTTTTTAAACATGGTCTACTACTGTCGTTTTTTATTATTGTATTATTGCGTAACTTAGGTTTCAAAAGAATCTCTTTTTTTTTACAATCTCTTCGTTTAAAAGTGCTAATTGTTAATATATTTATTTATGCGGTCTTATTAACTGATTTTGTTGTACTGGTGCGAGGTTGGTACAGCTTTTCGTTGTCGTTGTCTTTGTTGTTGGTGTTATTGGTCGATGGCTACGTTTCGTCGAATTCGCCTTCTTCAGGGACTACACATTTTTTATGTAGCGTTAGCCTTATATTCGGTTAATTCTATGTGGTATTAATGAAAATCAAACTTTTAAATAAACGCCATATTGATCAGAAAGGCTACTCGCCATACCGTTACGAGTAGGACTGCCCGTGTGTTGTTCACGTATGCTGGTGAGTGAGACCCACCCATTTTCAAATAAAGCGCCAAGTCACGTGTGGTAGAGAGGCATTCGTCTATCTCGTTTATCTTTACATTTTTGAAATTAAAGTTTTCGCGTTGAAGTCTTTGATTCCTGCGCTTTGATCCGGACAGTCACTTCAAAATCATCGCCGTTGTGGTTTCGTACCCTATGCATACCTAGAGGAGTGTTTTGAAGAATTTTAACTTTCCCATTTAGATGTTTTTTTATTCGGTCATAAAGTGGTCTACCCATTTCCCCAATATATTCCTCACCGCATTCGTTACATGAGATCAACTATATCATACCTGAACTCATGCGATCCCCGTCTCTCCCGTTAGGACAGATTATACAGTTTTCCGAGCTGCGCAAAAGACCATAAAGGTGATTGCGGACTAATCGGCGGCGTATGGTATTGGGTGGGAGGTCAACAAGCGCCACATAATTTTCAAGACCACTTTTCCTTGAGCGCCTCTTAGCCTGAGAATGCTACCGTAAACCAAGTTGTAAAAATATACTAGTTCACTACCACACCTTTTATACTTCACACATGAAAAAGCACTTATCACAAACACGTGTCGTATGGCTAAAAATGTGTGCACAGGAGAAGAGGAAAGGAAGGAACCGCTAAACCTGGCACGAAAAATAGCCACTTCTAATGACTACGGAGCAGAAGCCACTCGGATCAAACAAAGAGGTAGAATTATTCTCCAAAATAGTGTTTCGGACGTAAATAATGTCCATTTTAAGCTGCCTATCATATCAAATGAAATAAATTACACCATTAAGAAATGCTTAAGGAAAGGTAATCTTGAAAGTTATGCGGCAATTATTGACCTCCCGCCCAATACCATACGCCGCCAATTAGTCCGCGATCACCTTTCTGATCTTTTGTGCAGCTCGGAAAACAGTACGATCTGTCCTAACAGGTGAGAGGGGCATGAGTTCAGGTATGATATACTTCATCTCATGTAACGCATGCGGTGAGGAATTTATTGGGGAAACGGATAGACCATTTTGTGTTTCGGATAAAAGAACATGTAGATGGAAAAGCTAAAATTCGTGAAGCCACTCCTCTAGGTACGCATAAGGCACAAAGGCACAATGGTGATAATTTTCAAGTGAGTGTGAGGATCCTAGCCCAAGAATCGAGAAAATCAGCGCGCAAAACTTTTGAAGCGTTTTGGATAACTTTCAGAAATCGAGAGATGAACTGGAAAGACGAATGCCTCACTATCACACGTGACCTGACGCATTATTTCAAAATGATATTTTGACCCATGGCTGTGTCTCGCTGGCGACACCACGTGAACAACTCGTGAGCCAGTCCTACTCGTAACATCACGATGGGTAGCCTTTCTGTTTAATATGGCGCTTGTTTAAAAGTTTGATCTCCATTAATGCAATAGATATTTCGCCGAATATAAGGCTAAAATACGTGCAGGCTCTGAAGCAGGCGAGATCGCCGAAATGTCAGCCATCGATCAACTATACCACCAACCTTGCATCAGCTCAGCAAGGTCAGTTTATAGGATCGTACAAATAAACATAGCAGCTACTTATGCCGGGGTTTTTGGAAAGTGGGTCTTTTGAATTTTTAATTGTTCGTCACTTGTTTGGTCAATCTTTGGCTTTTTCGTTAACAAATGTTTGATAGTTGTGAAAATGGGATTTATCCTTTTTCCTGTTAATTTTCCCCACTTTTCCCGTTTTTCATTCTTCATTTAGGAAGCGAAACATATCATGCAAAACGCTGGCCAAAAGGACGTTCGCATTGTCTGTATTGGGGATAAAGCTAGAAATGCCTTACAACGGATCTACGGCAAGAAATTCTTGCTTACTGGCAACGATATCGGCCGTACTCCACCCACATTTGCTGATGCGTCAATCGCTGCAAAAGCAATTCTCGATTCTGGATTTGACTTCGAAGAGGTAGTTTCTAGACTTGGAATTTAGTGGTCGCGCTAAATGCATTGTTTTTTTGTTGAGTTAGTTGTGGACCCAATTATCACTAGCCGAGTTTTGCCTATTCATTGAAGGCTTAGAGCATCGTAATACCAGTTTTTCAAAACGTTTGCGGAGTCATGAGATTAGTACCACAGTCGTACTTGCTAGCTTCGTTTTGCTTCTGATATTCCTTTAACCGACAGGTTGTTCCAAATGGGGCTATTTTAATTATATTTTCAGGGTTCGATCATCTTCAATAAATTCAAAACCGTTGTTTCGTTTGAAACCTCCAAAATGCCAATTATGCCCCTCGAGGTGTCATTTTTTCAACATTTTTCTTTAGTATTTCACAGAGTTCATTTCAATAATTTTATTAATTTATATCTATATGTTTTCTATAGTTTTGAAAGAGTTTCGTGGTCTTCTATTTTATAGAAACCAGTCTTATAAAGCATTGCTGCTCTTGTTTCAAGATGGCCCTCTTTCTGCATTTTTGTACTGAAATTGGTTCTTTTATCTGCTATTTATTTATTTTGAACGACAACTATTCACAATTACTGTGTTAGTCACAACACTTCTTAAGTCCGATTTGGTTCCTCCATTATCCACGAAGGTCTTCGAACTTCTCATATGTGGGTTCGAGTGCTGCCTAAGGATTTTCTTTTCGTTGTGAATGTTGTTAAGTGCTAGTCGATTCGATTCTTTCTGGAGTCCTGAGATAGTCGAACTAGAGGGTTCCCACTTGGTAGTTTGTAGAGAGTGAGGTTTTCCCAAACAAATTTACTACAAATCTGGCAACTCCAGAGGGGCGAGAGGCTTGGTGAGATGAAAGTGGTGTGGAATCAGCACGGTACTCGTGGTGGTCGGCATCACTGCCACTGCGCTAATCGTCCTTTTCTTGTGTTTATTGCTCCTGAAAAATCCATACTTGAGAACTTGTATGGAATAAGGCACCGTGTCGTTTACGGTTTACCTGTTGGCCGTTGATATTTAGATCGATTTCCTTCCCGTTGGATTTTTGATCCGTGGTATCGTTGATATTCTAGGATATCGGTGAATTCGAACAAAGTTGCGCTTAAGCTCCATCGCGACGAAATGACTGGTTAGTTGTCAGATAACCATTGTCGAGATTAGTATCCATTGTTCACAAAATCACAACTTGCATTACCTCTGCGAATCGCCCTGCTAGTCATCGAATGAGCAGAACGTGCGAGATTTCCATTGGTCTTGTTTGGAAAAACGTCGTATTTGTTTGTGGAATAGGAGGAAATCTGGGCGTTTTTTTCCTTCAGAGCGTCCATGGAGAAGTCTACGTGGTCTTAATAGTGCGTGCTTAACGATCTTTGTAACCTCTTCGTTTACAACCTATGTAAAGCAATTATCTTCCTGTCACATGACGTCCTCGGTGTGTCTGATTTTCTAAATCTCGGCCTTGGTAGCAGTATTCGTGACTACCGGTTAGCGATATACTTTAGAAACCATTATTTGCCTCTTATAAGCATCTCATTTGGGTCAAACGAGATTTTTTAATCGTCATTTTCTCATCAACGTTTCTGAAAGCATTGGTTACACTTCGTTTTTATTTACCTAGAAGAGTTGAAAGGATGCGGAGGTGTACGTTTTTGTTTTACTTGCCACGCCGTAGATGGTCTTTTAACCTTGGTAGTTTGCTCGTTTGCTCTCATATGCCTTGGAAATTACGTACTGCACTCGGAGATGTTAAGCATCACCGAGGAGTAGGAACTGATTACTTCTGAAACCTGTGGGTTTACCAAGCCTTGCAAAAGTGGGGTTTGGAATTCTCGTTAGTTGCCAACTACGAGTGGGTTTTTGTGTAAAAATCGGTTTATTTTAGTAATAGACAATGGCATCATGTGGTCAGAACGTTCTATTAACTCACAAGGAACAAGAACCTTTTAAAATTGAGAAGGAAAAGAGGAAATTCAAGTTTTTTGATCCGTTTATTCATGTCCTGTTTGGATCATCTATGAGACCGATTTAAAAAATAACATTTTCTAATTTTATTTATTGCCTACTATTTTCATAGCAGAGTATTATGAGAAATACAACTGTAATGATGCTAAGGTAATTGCAAATGTAGGACCCTAATCCAGATTCGAACCCACGACTACTCTTCCCGGGACTCACGTTTTGTCCATTTCACCACCGACACCTTTGCTTTTTCTCTGTCTCTGCCAGTTTTCTCACCCTAACAGTGCTATTAGCAATCATCCATCAGCGGGGATGTTTGGTGAGCACATGTTAGCATTGTAACCGGTTAAGCTAAAGCTGCAATTAGAGAATGGTTTTGCTTACTGTCGAAAATGTGTGGTTGGAAGCCATTGCTGGTAAATTAGTTTTTCTAATATCTATGCGGAGGAATAGTTTATTCTCTACCATGTTCAGGAAATGTTCGTAATGTTTCAGAAGAATTGGAAAAGCGCGGGGTCAATTATGACATCACTGTTTTATTCGATAGGTTGTAGTCTATGTCTTTATACAACCTTTATATAGTTGAAAACATTTCAATCTTCAGATTTTTAAAAATGAAATGTCAAATTTATTTTTTAGTCGGTAGGCTGTCATTTTTAAAGTTCAGAAACGCAAATCGCTTTCTGTTAAACTTGGAGAGTAAAACCAACGCGGTCAGAAGTTTTCAAGATAATCCTTTTTGAAACTCTTAAGTTTTGAGAGTATATTTCATTACTCATTCGGACGCTGATCAGTGCGCGCTTCATTTGTAATTGCCATCATCAACAGGTCTTTATTCAGAATGAGTGCCGATTTATGTGAAGCTTTTGCTTCGCAGAAAACGTTGGTAATTTTGTCAGGTACCATGATATACCTTGAGGCAGGACGAACTCGTGCGAGAGAAACCCTGATGGAGTGTTTTAACCAAATTCTATTCCACTCATTAGTTAAGAGCGAAGAAATGATATTGTTTGGAAATAATATTGTTGAAGCATATGGATATGTTTGCACTCAAAATTGATGTAAACTACAGTTTATACAACCACAAGATTGCTGAGATATTTGCAAAACTCCGGACCGCAGGCGTCTGCCGCGGGATCAAACCTCATTGTTATCGTTTCCCAAGGTTAAAGTGTTCACCGCCACACGACGCGTGTCCTGTCCTTCGTTTCACCTTTCTCAGCATCATTATAGCTATATATTTCACTACAATTTATATTCCATTTTCATTGTGCCAGATTTTTTTCTAGAAGTAATGAACGTTACAGATTTATAAAGCAGTTATTTTTCCAAGATCGACTATGTATTAACCTCAGCATTGGATTATAAATGCGTCGTTTTCTTTCTCAGCAATTGCGAGGTTGTTAAACAGCGTACGTTTGCTTCCATACAATAACACACATACAACACAATTGTAGCTGACGTTTTGGCAACCCCATATTCTTCAGAGCCGTTTTTTACATGCCTTCCACGAAAAAAACGGCTCTGAAGAATACGGTATTGCCGAGACGTCAGTTACGATTGTGTTGTATGTTTGTTATTGTATGGAAGCAAACTTACGCTGTTTAACGACCTCGCGATTGCTGAGAAAGTTAACGACGCAGTTATTTGTTGGAATTTTTTTAAAGTCTTGTTTAGACTATCAAGGCTAAGGAGGCCTTGGCTACTTATGATTCGGTGGATGACGACGTCCTTCAGTCCTACAGCGAATATTCGCTTGCTCAATTAATCTACTATGCAATGAAGGAATCTGCCACATCAGAACAGGCTTCTCGTATGACCGCTATGGATGGCGCATCTAAGAATGCCGGTAAATGTTTAGTGCAAGTTCCTAGTCGTTCAAGGTAGTAGTAGGTGCGTCATGATGTCTTACATTATCTCTTCAAAAGTTGGAGATTTTGTTCAGCAATCCTTATAAACGTTTTTCACTGAACCGTGGCTATTTTTATTTATAGGAGAGATGATCGATAAACTGACACTGGCCTTCAATCGTACACGACAAGCCGTCATTACGCGTGAATTGATTGAGATAATCTCTGGAGCTGCTTGTGTTTGAAAATTCGATCGCATCAGGACTGCCAACGTTGCATTAAGAAGATTCTTAGACCTCTGTTTTAGTTGTTTAGCTATTTAATGAATAGTGAAATTGGAAGTGTAAATGTTATTATACCACGCATTCCAAGCATTGGTTGCTGCCTTACTGTTATCTTGAATGTTTGAAATGGTTTTGATATCTGGAAAGTGGAAGATGTTGCCCTTATATCTCTATCTTTTCCTGCACTCTTTTAAACCATTATCTTCTAAAGTGGAGCTTAAATCCGTAGAACTTTTAGATATCGATAGTGTTCCCAGAAGGGAATGAATCTGTGATCACGTGGACATATTAACTGTACTGTAACAAACAGTTACGATGGACATTTGTGTTCTTGAAAAAGCAGCAGAAACACTTCTGGTGGGTAAATTTCTTGGTATAAGGACTTTGGTTTTTGGTACGTGTAACTTTAACTTTGGTCCTTTCAATCTAGTGAGTGAGAAGGGGAATCACTTGTCTGATCTCCATATTGTTTCTTGCCCTTGACTCTGAGCGATGTTAATAGGGCTAGATTTCCATGTTTTGTTCTAAGGACATGGAAGAAGAAGGAGACTACGGAAGTGTGTGTTCAGCGTGTTTTTATTTTTTCTTGTGGCATACGTCAAGCATTGTTGTGTTTCAAAGTCGTGGATGACAACGTTGGGAAATGTATTGGCGCACTTGTAATGACTTTGTGTTTATTACTACAGCATTTAATGTATTTCTACTCATGGTGGTGATTTTAGTGGCGCTTATGGCGCGGTGGTCGAAAGCACCCTGGAATGCACATGGGATCGGTCCCGGCGCTCTAGGCTTACCAAGCCTTCCATCCCTCCGGGGTTGGCAAATTGGTACCAGACTTGTCTGGGAAGATAGCAGCACAGACTCGATACATCAGTAGGCCAACGGCAGTTTTTGTAAAGGTCAGGTATGTATTCAATCACCTCCAACGATACTTGGAAGAATGCGTGGCGCATGGCAGAGAGGTTCATCAGCACCGAGAGCTTATCCTTTATCCTTTTATCCAGATGGTGTTTTTATGCTGCTTTTTTAAACCTAACATATGTGGTTGAATTATAAAGAGAGTCGTTCACGTTGAGTTATATCATCAAGACGTGGTACTTATTTGAAACTAATGCATGTTTGTTAGGGTCCACCAAACTTAGTCTCCGCTGAGAGTCGGCGTGAAGCAGAACAACTATTCCACAACATTAAACAAGAACTTACCATCGAGGCTGTCGCTCAAGTTATACGTGGGTGCCTAAAGACTTTATTATACCTTCCACACTTGATATCTTCCACTTGATATCTTATAATTTTTCGCTCGTCGGAGATACTTATGTCTATAAGTTATACGCCTTTGCTTTTTTATGAATCTGATGGGAAATCATTTATAGGCGTTATGATCACTCTGCTTGTTTTAGGAAACACGAGAAATCAATGCGTCCTATTTCAAATCGCGCAGATGACGGGCGAAATTGTTTTACGGGATTGGGTACTTTTATCGAAGGATCAGATTATTCACACCTACAAGATGTTGTTGGAGTTTGTCGCCGAGACAGAAGAGTGAGTGATCCGTGGGTTTCCGTTTGTTCCAGGTTTTCGCGGAAATTTTCTTCAGTTTTCTTGTGGCCTTTTTTCGTTTTACTCTTGGAGGAGCTGGAACCTTGTTTTACGCTCCAATTTCTTTGCAGAGAAATGCAGTGTGATTTGGACAAATCTCTATCTTATTATGTTCCTATCAAACGCAGACTTTCATCCACTACATCTAACGGAGGGGTAAAGCCACCGGTCTGTTTGGCCGAAAAATTTCTCATTTTAGCTTGTCAAATTATGCACGGACTGAATTCTTACGCTCTGTTGCAATGATATTGAAACGTGGTATCATTGATGAAAAAACCGGAGACGAAGAGGATTTATTTGGTATCATACATAATCTATTGATTAGTCAACATGCGCGTATGGTAAGCTTTGTTGAGGTCATCACTGTTTCATGCTTCTCTCTTTAATATGTCAACTTTTACTTTTTTCTTTAGCAAGCTATTGGCGGAGAGCTGATTTCTGCAATAACTCATCAGTTCTCATCTTCGTGGAGGAATACCAAGTTTAGTATTACGTGGGATTTTCATTTGCGAGCAAAATCGAAGTTTGAGGTATACCATCATGGCGTCTCAGATGCTCGGTTTTCTTCCGTTTTTTTTTCTTTGCATTTGTCACTAGGCTGTTTAGTCTCTGATGAATATCGAAAAATTAGCTCTAACCGTGAAAACGCCATAATGCAACTCCTTTCTATCATATTTTTGTCCCACTTTGTAGTCCTTGTTTGCTACTACACTTTCGTGAATTCAGAAAACTACGGTAAGTTGGTATAATAACTATATATATGTGTGTGTGTTTTTTTTTTTACAGAATACCGGCCTTAGACGTTTGTTAGAAATGTCTTTGAAGACACTACACACCTTGATATCGCAGTCCAGTATTTTGCCTGATGAATTCGCTCGACGTATATGTGAAAAGTTTTTAGAGGTATATTGATTGATTTCCGTTAGTTGTTTTCATTATAGAATGTTATACTAAATTTTAAGAAGTATATCTCTTCTAAGAAACGCGTTTGTTTCTTAAATTTCTTTAAGGTAGCCGAAACCGCGTTGTCCTGGAATTTTGCGTCCAAAGTGTTTAGTCGACTGTTCTATTTTTGTCAAGTTAGTGTATTCTGTCTCTAAAATGATATAGCTATCTAATTTTTCGTTGTTGGAAATCTCGTTGAAATTCAGGCAACAAATTCGTTCCGACCTCCGGCATCTTGGAAAGATCTTCTTGAAAATGACGAGTTTTTCGGTCTTTTTTTTCAGGTATTTGTTTTCATATGTTTTTAGAGGGCGACTTTCATTTAAGATCGGCATGATTCTTCTTTTTTTGTATCCATGAGGTTTTTTATCTCCTTGAATTCGACTAAATATCGTTTCCATAGGGGTGAGTGTGGTGCGATGGTCGGAAGAGTCTTGCAACATACAAGTGATCAATGCCCCCCCCCCCCCCCCCCCCCCCCCCCCCCCCCCTCCCCTATCCCGCCAAGCTTTCTATCCTTCCATGCTTCCGAGGTTGGCTAATTGGCACCAGACTTTTCTGCTGCAATAGCAGCACTGGCTCACTGTATCGGTAGGCCACCGCGAGTCATTGTAAAAGCCAGATATGAATTCAATCACCTCCAACGATGGTTAATGAAGTCGAATGCACGGCGCATCCCTTAAGGATTCATCAACGCCGAGAATTTTTTTGTCGTTCTCCTATAGTTTTATCATAAGATTTTCGTCTCTTCATAAGCACCCAATGTCGTTAAGTACAACTATTTCGAATGATAAAGCCTATTTTTCAGCTCCATGCAAAAATCCGTACCGATGAAGCGCTTTCGCTTCGTTCCCTTTCGTGCCTTGTGCAACTAGCTGGTCTGTCTGGCGATGTTCTCTCTTCTTCGGATTTTACGAAACACTATATGAAGCTTTACATTGAATCGCTATTGGATCTTTTTGCTGAAGGTTCTTTTATACACTTGGTAGTCTTCGCTTTTGCGTTGTGGATTTTGAAAAAATTGGCTAAGTTTCTTTTTCACCATTTAACGTCCATAATGTTAAAAAATTTAACTGTTGACTATCATCGGCGTTTTTTATGGCTAGCCACTCTAGGTCCACTCCCCCATGAAGTCAATCATTTCTGCACGGTAGTGAACCGTCTCTTCCAGTACCGCCCAATTCAGATGATCATGCAGATTGGCCCCGATCTTAGAGATCGATTCTTGACTTACCTCTCACGATATATTCAACATCTTACGAAACAAGCGATGTTCAAGGCAATTGTGAGTTTGACTTTAGTCATATTCAACGATTAACTACAGATATTGTTAAATAGGGCGCAGGTGAGCACGATGATCATCACTCGGTGGCATTACTGTATGATTCATGGACTTTGCTGTTAAGAGGTCGATGGAGGTTGGAACTGTCTCAAGAGGAAGAAACAGTAATAGGTGAGCTGGAAGCTGACAAACTTCTTTTTAGTCGCGAATTACGATGAAATCTAGGCTTTCTACAATGGTTCACACATATTTGCAAAACACCGAACTGCAGTGGGGATCGAACCCCGTTATTACCCTTTCCGGGGGCTAACGTGTTTACCACCCCGCCATACATGTCCTTCGTCTAGCTTTTCTCGCAACCGTCTTTAGGTTTTCTTTTCGGCAGGAAGTACATTGGCGTATATTTCAAAGCTTTCGAAGTATGCTTTTGTTCCACTTTCTTAATGGGTTTAAAGGTAAATATTGAAGGTGAGAAATAAATGGTGAGAGAGTTCCCACTGGCATTATAGGTCCTTTCTTTCATTACGTAGTATCAATTATCTAAACTGCGGATTATTTTTCTCGGCGTAATGTTAAACTACATGTCCTGCAACAGTTTTACTGTTATCTGTCATTTTCATTGTCAATGTTTTCACTTCTACCACAACCACAGATCTCACACATATGAGGGATCTCGAGCCGGCAGTCGCGAGGCTACGTGGCACGTCCCCAACTGGCGGATAGGGGGCTAATCGCGGGTCTAAAGCGACGATTGATTTCCTGAGACGCAGGTGGATCCAGGGAGTGGACTCCCTGTTTCAAGAAGGAGGGTGACGTCCACGATATTGGCAACTATTGCCCAAGCTGCCTGATCTCTGTCTGTCTACAAACTTTTTATTCGAGTCATCCTAAATAAGATTGGCAGAACATGGACGAAGAGCAGCAATGTGAGAAAGCAGGGTTTCGAAAAGGATTTAGTACGATAGACCACAGTTATACGATGGCAAGACTCACTGAAGTATCCCGAGAGTACGAAATACCGCTCTGTCTCACTTTCATCAATTTAAAGAAGGTCTTTGACTCAATTGAGATAGAAGCAGTCATGGAAGCCCTTGATGGTCGAGTCGTTACTCAGTATATAATTCTTCGGGAACTTCAGAACAGCTTCACAACCAAGATATCATCATTCTACAACGGTATTAATATCGACGTCAAACGAGGAGTTAGGCAAGGCGATATCATCTCGCCGAAATTATTTCTGCCACCCTCGAGAACGTCATGCGAGCACTGGAATTGGACAACATGGGAGTGGAAATCGATGGTTAGCAATTACACCATCCTCGCTTTGCTAATGATATAGCATCAAATATTAGACAAACTGAACGATTGCTTACCGGTTTTAATAAAGCCTGTGGAAAGATTAGTCTTCAACTAAATTTCTGAAAAACGATGTTCATGAGGAACGGATTGGTTTCGCATGCCCCATTCACGCTCAACAGAACGAATGTCTCCGAATGCTCCAGTTATGTCTATCTAGGCCGGGAGGTCAACGAGGCAAACGACTTAACTCCAGAGCTGAGCAGGATGAAGCGAGCCGTTTAGTGAGCTTTCAAGAGTATTGTGGGTGTGATGAGGAGAACAAAGAACACGCGACTCCGTGCTCACCTTGTTGATTCAACGGTACTTCCTGCCTTAACGCAACCTTCAGAAACCTAATCGCTGCGTGCGCAGGATGAAAGATCACTTAGCGTTATTGATTGCACAGTCGAAAGGACGATGATAGGAGTATCTCGTGTAACGCAAGTAAGGGAAGGGAGCCGTGCCTTCGACCTGCGTCAGTGATCAAAAATCAAGGATTCGGTTCTGTGCGCCAAACAGTCGAAGATGAGGTGGGCCAGACACATAATGCGTACAGCCGATGGACAAGAGCCGTTAGTGACTGGATTCCTCGGGATGTCAAACGTACTCCAGGAAGGCCACCGACCCGATGATCAAAATTTTCACGAAAAGCTTTGAAGAAAGAAATAATGCTCAACGAGTCCCAAGGGCGAGCAGAACCCACTGAGTAACTGTTGCATGCGACACGGTAAAATGAAAGATTTACTGGCGCTCGCTCGAGTCACTGAACGATCAACAAGACTACAGGTGATACCACAGCAATGGTGACATATTCGCAAAACTTAGACCTCAGGCCAGATCAAACTTCGGTTACCCTTTCCGGGGGCTTGCGTACTGCACTTTGCGCCACGAAGGGCCTTGCTCTACGTTTCTCTTAGCTAGCTTTTATTTCATTTCTGTTTATCTAGCTCTTCCTTCTATTTATTTTTTCGTATTCTCCATGTTCGTTGAATAAAGAGGTTTTTTAAATATTAAGATAACGAACTCATCAATGGACCGAATCTACAGATTGTCAAAAACTTTGTGGAATGCGTTCTTGCACCGCCTCTTGGTTGCAGGCCACCTGTGTACACCGAGGACGACGATGGAGAAGATGATAGAGTGGTATCGTTACTGAACGCCACAAGAATTTAGATTCTTATCACGAGTTCCGTACTCATTTAGCTTTTCCATGATCTGTTGACTCCCCTAGGAACAATGACATGCCACAGTGTTCGCGATTTTATGGATATGATGATTCAGTATGTCTTTGCAAGTAGCGTCTTTGGATATTTTTTTTCTTTTTGGTAATCTGTGAACATTTTAGTTTGATGCGAGAGCGCGTAGCGGAATTCAGAACAATGGCGTCTGGTTCCACAGATCTAACCCGTCTACCATTTTGGCAGGAAGATTTGCACTGGATTTTGCTCATCATTAGTAAGGCTGTTCTTTATATCCCATGTCTCTGTCACGTCTTTTCTTTTTTACATGATCCGTCATCACATCTGCTGTGCAAGTCTCAGCACTTCTTTTGATCCATTTTTTTTCTGGTTAATCAACTACAAAGGCCTTCGAACATTTCGTATGTTATTGTGGATGCTACTTGAGGATTTTGTCTCCCATATGGATGTCGTAGAATGCTGGTCGAGCAGCCTTTAAGATAATCAACCTAAGGCGCTCCCACATGGATTGTGAGGCGCTGGAGGGGTGGTCGAATTAGAACCTTGCTTCCTGGTGGACTGCTTCGTCGGGGTCACCTTTTGAGAGTAAATTCTTGTTCACCACTGTCGTTACGCGCACTTGTGAAAACCCTAGTGTAGCAATAATCGTTACACGTACTCGTGAAAATCCTAATGTAAGAATAACTCAAAAGATCGACTTTATAAAAACCTCGGCATAATAATCGATATATGTGTGTATATCCCACGATCGACTTTCTATTAACCTCGGTATTGATCAAGTAATTCTTCATATTCTTGTTGAGCAAACGCGAGGTGTTATTTTATTCTTTATTCAGGAACAAGCTGACGTTTCGGCGGATTTCGCCTTCCTCAGAGCCGGGAAGGGTCAAGTTGACAGCAATCTATCCGGCCTAGCTAGATTGCTGTCAACTTGATCTTTCCAGGTCCTTAGGAAGGCGAAATCAGTCGAAACGTCAGTTTTTCCTAAATAAAATATGTGTGTATATGTTTTTAGGAACTGCCTTTTTTTTAGCCCACGCGAGGTTGATACAGATGTTCTTATTATTGTTGTTGTTTTTGTTCAATGGCTGACTTTTCGACGATTTCGCCTTTTCGGAGCCTTCCCGTTGGGCCCTCGTCTCACGTGAACGTTACCCTCTTGAACAACACACAGGTGGTCCAGCGTCCAGTCTCTGAGGAACTCGAAGTCGCCGAAGAATGAGCCACTGAACGAAGATAACAACAAGAACATCTGTGCCAGCCTCGTGTCTGCCTGAAAAAAGGGCAGTTCAGAAGTAGAGCAATATTTTCTCCTAGTATTTAGCTAACACGTTGTTAATTGATATCAACTAGCAAGTTGGTATGGAACTTTACTAGCTTGTGCTTCGGTGCCTTCGCTTCCTCCTTCTTCAAAGTCGCAGTGACTCGAGTCGCTTATACCTAACCATTCGTTATCATGATCTGAGTATTTGTTGTTGCACAGTATAGATTCCATTGGAATGGAGCGCCAATCGAATGAAGTACTCCCATTTGGCACTGCTGTGCTGTATAGGATGGTTGTTGATGTATTGCGATCTAATATGAACTGCTTTCATGCTGGAAGAATATTGGTGTAACATCTATAATGCTGAGGTATTTGCAAAAATCGGGACCGAAGGTTTCTGCGGTGGGGAACGAACACGTTATTGTCCTTTCCGGGGAGTAACGCGTTCACCACCCACCATACGGGTCCTTCGTTTCGCCTGTCTCTCAGCTAGTTCTATCGATCTTTTACCATCAGCTGTCCTACGTCAACAGGATTGATCTGGGGAGCTCAAATCGGCATTGAACCCAGTTAAGCTGAGAGTATAGTTATAATCACAATCTTAGCCTTTTTATTTATTGCTTAATCTTTTTTTAACGGCAGGGTATGTTGAAAAATATAACTTCTATAATGCTGAGATACTGGAAAAGTAAAAAACTCAATAAATGGTGTGATTCAACAACGACAAGAAACTGACGTCGTTATGAAGTTTGTTGTATGTTTCTTTTGCACACCAAAAAGATCCATTTCTCGATCGCATTATGACGTGATGTTGAAATGTGGGTTTTACACCGTCACTACAAACGTGCAATGTAGTTAGTGGATAGACGAAAAACTTAATCACCTCCTAAAGCGGAGTCTACTATAGGGGGAAGTTATGGTGATGCCTTGGTATTAGTACTCGTCAATTCTGAAATCTGGTTGAACGATCACAGCAGGGAATTGCTGTTACGAATTTTATGGGAAGCATCAAAATTTCGCCATATATATCCTGCAATAATCGTCTTTCGGAAGTTGAAGACGCTACACTACAAAACCCGGGACATTCAGCAGATCTCACCGAAGCTACCATCTGCTACTTTTTCATGAATCTTGACAACTAATTCCAAGGAGTTTTAAAAAATCGGCGTTGCCGGAAATATTTCTAAGGATTTCATATTGTCCACTACTTCAAGTTTTTGTTGCTGGAGATAAATTTTTACTTTTTTGGCAAAATATCTAGTTCTTAACAATGTTTCATTGTTATGAATAAAATAAAGGCGCGTGTGGCGCAGTGGTCGGAAGCGTACTACAACATACGCGTGGAATCGATTCCCGCGCCCATGGTCCACCAAGCCTTCCAACCCTCCCAGGTCGGCAAATTGGTACCAGACTTATCCGGGAAAGCAGCAGCACTTGATTAATACATCGGTACACCACCGCGAATCATTATAAAAGCCAGATATGCATTTAATCACCTCCAGCGACGTTTATTGAAGTCGAAGGTGCATCCCTTAGGGGTTGATCAATGCCGAGAGCTTTATCCTTTATGAATAAGCCAAACTTGCTGCTTATAATTCGCTCACTTGATTATCTTCCTTATAGTTAGTGAAGCTTACTTCGAAACTTGTGGTTCATCCTTATTTTTCAGGTAATTCTGTAGTAAACGAAGACGTTGATGGAACTTGTCGTACAGAGCCAGAAGTGTTTGATAATTCCATTGCACTTGTAAAAGATAGAGGTCAAGTGTTCAGGTGAGTACATTTATTTGGAGCTAATGATTCAAATTCTGATTTTATTCTTTAGGTTAGAAGATACTGACGCCTTCCTCACACAATGTATTGAAGATCCTGGTGCTGATCGCTCAGAAGCTGATACTTTGGTAGATCCATATTTACGGTAATGTCCAATTTTTCAGCTTGAGCAATGTTTTCATTTTAATCTGGAGTGTATAAATGAAAAACTTTTTCAGTTTAATCGGTGAAGTGCTTGCATGGGCAGCTCTTGAACATCAAGTGGTATCCGAAGGTGCTGAGGAATTCGTTAGTCCTGAATTAACAAGGTTCGCACTGCTTAGAAAACCTTGTTGTTACTTTTGGATACGAAAGTTGGATCATCTAGTTTAGATCATCACTTCTGTGCCTGAAAAGAGTGCTGAGCGCTTCGAGCTGTTTTGTTGAACATGCGGTATGTTTCATATTGGATCGTTATTTCACTAGTAACGTTCTCGATCTTTCGATTTCTCCCACAAGGGAACTTCTTTCGAAGCTGCTGCTATTGTATAAACTGCATTGTACTACAGGATGCAGATGCATTGATGCTACCTGTTCTTCCACATACCGGAACGTTTGCTCTACTTGTAGTAAAATTCGTTGTACATAAAGTGTTCACAGTTCTGAAAAAATTTGGTGGGGAGGAGAAGTGAGTTTCCACTACAGTCCTAGTTTATTGTGGTTGTTGTATATACCCTTCCATCCTATGTAGGTACTTATTAATAATATTTTACTACCTCAGATTATGCTTGGACGCTGTAAATTTGCTAATTGGAATGATTGATCCGTATGCGACGTCACTTGCATCAGCACCGGAGCTTTTTGATCATCTTGTTCAGATAGATATTGCGGCGTTGCCGAGCAGGTAAGTGGAGATGTTCATGTGTTTTCTAATTTTTGTTTTCTATCAAGTTTTTGTCTAAGTACAAGGACCAGTTGCTGGTTTTCTGGCAACCAGTATATATGGAGAGTTTAGAATATAACAGCGAACCTGTAAAAGGGGTCTAGCCTATTTTCCTAGGGGTATAAATGTTTCCTCTGAGATGTTTTTTTTTCAGTCTGGATTTGTAAATTAAAATTTCATGAAGGGACCTTTCTAAACGTTGTTTAAATCTTTAAAATTTCCAATGCTGGCGCCGCCATCACAAGCGTCGGTGATAAATTTGAGGAACTATCTTGTTATGTTCCACGAAATTCTGACTGTTCAATCGTTCAGCTATTCAGTGCACGAGCTTCTACGGAAAAAAGGTGAAAAAGTCTTTTAGGCTCCACAGTTAAGTTTTTATCTTTGTTGAATACGAAAGGTGGATTTTTTTCGTCAAAAATCCATAGATTTTGCTTTTTTATTCGAATTGATGAAGTTCATCATCAGCTGAGTCATAATTCTTTAATGCTTAGCGCCCAAGCCCAATTTTAGATCTTTATCGGGCTTTGCAGACTCCTCCATTTAAACGTGATTGTAAGCTCATAGTGGGTTTTCATGAACTGTGTAGTTTGATCAGTTTAGAATTTAAAAACTTGATGGAAAAGTTCTTTGTGCTATAGCTGGAATGTATGTTCTTATTTACTACATGTTATTATGTTTGACCATATATCCACCTGTAGCGAGGTGGTCGCAGGCGGCTTGCGATACACATGTGGTCTCTGGTACGATCCGGCGCCCAGACCTTACCAAACCTTTCATACCAAATGGGTCGGTAAATTGTTGTCAGACTTGAAGTAATAGCAGCACTGATTTGATACATGGAAAGACCATCTGAGTTATCCCACGGGAAAAGTAATAGCGCGTTCGTTCCTCACCCCAGACACCTGCGATCTGGAGTTTTGCAATTATCTCAACATCATTGTGATTGCCATCAGTTTTTGAAATTCTGTTTTGCAGTTTTTGTCAGATTTAGGTATTTCCTATGCTGCCCAGTCCCTCGTTCCGATCACTAGTGAAATAACAGTCAATTAGCAGCTAAATTTGGTGAAATGTCCTCAGCTCTTCAGTTTCAGTACTGAGAGTGCAGTAGGCTTATCGAATAAACTGCTACCAGAGAGTTTTTTTTGCAAATTATAATGCCTATAGAATAGTTAGTCTTTCCTTGCACAATATCTATGTTTCATTGGCTATCGAGAGATTGCAGAAAGTCTAGCAGAAAAAAGTATGCTGCAAAATAAACTATCGAAAATAAAATCCGTTGAAATGTTGCGCGTGATTTGTTATATCTTAATATTCAGAGGTGCATATTTTCTGCCGAACGCACTGAAATCAATTCAATGCACATCATCACTAAGCGTTGTGCTTTGATCAATCCATGAAATTACAGAACTCTTCTCATGAAAGCACTAGTGCTTATCGGAGCTGCAACGCATGATCAACAATTACAAGAGAATATGTCGGCAAGGGTTGGCTGATTATTATTGAACTAGACTCTGATTGTCAGATTTAAATGTTTCTACAACCTATAGCAAAAAAAATTTGTGATAATTGTTTGTTTTTCAGATACTAGATCCCTTAGGCCAGCGGTTCGCAACAGTTTGTCAGCAGTCGCCGAGTTCAGAAGTAGATAGTCAACTAGTAGATCTTATTCAATGCATGGACGGTGTAGCAAGAGCTAGTCAACCACACTCAGCTGCAATACTATTCAGTAAGTTTAAGCTTTCTATTTATTTTTAGGTAAAATTCTCATCTTTTATAATCGAAGTGGGACATATATATATCTTGAGCTTGCAGAATTCCTCATCCCAGTGCTCGATAGCTGCGTTCCATTGATGAAGTCACGTTCGTATTCTCAACCAATTGTCTCAGCCATTTTAGTGCTTATCCTGAACGTAACGACCAAAGTTTCAGTATACGTTGATGATAAGGTCAATTTTTTTCGTTTTTCAGATCTTGGAGATTTTAATACTAAAATTGTTGTAATTTCCCAACGATTTGCCTCCTCATCGTGGTTGGGAGATGTTCTGGGTGTCGGCCTGCGATGTACAGCGAGGGGATTTGTCTCCCTGGAAGAGTCTCGCAGGCTGAAAAGGAGTCCGGCGTTTACATCAGGAAGCCCAGCTTAGAGTAAACCGATACGAGGATCCACCACCGTCCTGGTGTCAAACTAATCGCATGTCGGCAACTTTCCTTGTGTTTCACAAGAGTGGTAATTGCCTGTGGAGGTGACGACCTGTGGTAGAGTTTGGCCAGGCTGACCCTGGGATGCCATGGAACCACAGTGGCTAAACCAGAAAATCTCCGTGAAAGTGGAGGTAGTGGTGGGGTCCACGCAACCAGTGAGGCAGGCCATCCAAATATCCAAATAAGTAAGTAAATTAGTTATGAAATTTTACTGTAACCAGAGGTCCTAGTGTTTAAAATTAAAGGCAACTTGGTAGGTTAGCTTCGTAAAATAGATATTTTATTCAGTACGATGACTTTCTAAAGTTGTGACAAAATCGTTTGTAACGAGGTTTTGATTACGTACAAGAAAACGTCTAGTTCCTTTACTTGTAAATTGTTTTTATATTATTTTTTAATATCTTGTTTCGCACATATGTTTCTAACATAGTTTTGCGTGCAGTTTATAAAATGCTTTAGGAAGACTCTGCCACGTTATATCGTACTATTATAATGATTGTTGATGTTTATCGTTCGGAACAAGCTGTACGATTTGTTAATATGACGGAAAACGACGAAGATAAGGGGAATGATTTGGTAAAATTTTCTGAAATCCATGAAAATGATCTTGATCGAGTGCCTATAAGTCTTTCATTTATTTCCATCTAGGTCCTATTCTTAGATATTCTTTCTAATGTTCTGTCGAAAGATGTTCTTGAAGGTGGTGACGATAATGTGGCTACTGGAGCACAGGTATGGCTTTTGGTTCAGGTTTTCCGTAAATAAGTTACGAAATGTTGTGCTTGAAAAGTTGGTTGTTGACTCCAAAATTTGGAAGTGCTTGCTTGTATTTTATCAGTTGTCCTCTTAGCCAAGTTGGTATCGGATAGCGATTGTTTTCGTGGAATTTCTCTTTGTTTCTAAGCTGTTCTGTAACGTAAAAGTACTCTGTTTCTCAGGTTGCGTTGAGATCGCTGGAGATGTTGCTAAGTGTTATGAATGAGTCTGTATTAAAGCTACCTGACCTGGCCATGAAATTCTTCCGTCTAGTGCTCTATTTGGTTGAGTTTTCCAGAGAGGCATTGTCGGTTATGTCAGCCGACCTCCTAGTTGCACTTTGTCGGTGCCTTCAGGTTATGTTTTAAACCCATTTCTTTCCTTCATTAATTGATAGAACACTTGTTTAGTACAACCATGAGGATGTTGAGATGTAAGCAAGCGTATAATTGCTGATAGCGCCGATAGAGTAAAAAAGAACTGGTTGAGAAAATAGCAAAGCAAAGGTCTCGGTGTGGTGGATAGCGCGTGAGCCCTCGGAAAGGGTAATTACGCGTTCGAAGTTGGCCTGTGCACCGGGTTTTGCGAATATCTCAGCGTCATTGTGGTTGTACTTCACTTAAGACTCTGCCGTGGCCAAGGAATGGGCGGCATACACAAGTTGGAACACTTGTTTGTTTTTTATGATTGTTTTATACGTAGTAATGTATTGAGAATTGGTTTGGATCGGCGATAATATAACAGCTCGCAAAAATCGATATCTCTGTCGCCCTTGATGAAACTCGTAAGTCGTGATGGATGCCATTAGTCGCAAGGTAGTAAGCTTTTGGATCAACAAAAGTTAGCGGTGACATTAGTAAACGCCTGAGAACACTGTATCATGGCTATATTGGATTCTAAGGAAAGACAATGTCCAACCCGCATCCAACATATCAATAAAGCGAGATGGATAACTGTTCTCGAAACTGTAGCCGAGCACGAACCCAGCAATCCGTTTAAAGGACGTTTGCAAAAGGAAAAAACAGAGTTGGTTTCCACCTTGCATGTGAAGTCGGTACTCATTATGCGGTGCTTATTATATGGCGTTTTTTGACAAATGTTGGACAAATACTAGTTTCTACTGGGCTGTCACTTCTTGCACTCCTTTACTGAAGTATTTGAGATTATGACAGTATTACCGTTATCTGAAAAATTGAACAACTTGAGTTATATGCCCAAACCTCATTCTCATATAACTAGTGTTTGTTGCTAATTTTGAAAGGATTTCGATAGGGAACCCACAAAACAGTTGCCGTAGTTTGCAGCTTTGAGAGAGGTTAAGAAAATCTAGGTTCATTCTAAGCCATCGCCTGTGATATTGTATTGTTGAGCAGATCTACATTTACGTGACACGCCATGCTTCATGTCACTCTGATAGATTTTGGTCGTAAAAGTTGGGGTATCGAAAGAAAAGGATTTGAGTAAAAAGTACATGTTATCTATTTTTTATTTTTTTCTAATTCATTTACAATCCTTGCAATCTGCTTCGTTGTGAAGTCCTACACGAGCATTTCAAAGGTAGAATGTATTACCAACCGTTTGAGGTGTGTTGCATTCGGATCTAGCTTGTTTTCTTATATTCTCGAGCGAAAACCTTATGATGTTGAAGTTGCTAAACGAACTTCCTGACTAAAGAACTGAGACATATTTTTATAAAGCTTTAGAATCGTCCTTTCTATGAACAGTTCGTAGTCGCAGATCGGATCTTAGTTGACTAACCACTCATCTACAAAAAGATGTCTGTCTAGAATGTTCTGACCATAGACGGCGTTCATAACAAGACATTTTAAGATACTAATCCTTTTTTCTTGGAAATGACCTAAATCGTCATATGAAAGTGGAAAAGCTCCTCGAATTCAACACAGAATAATGCCGTTATGGAAGTTTCAAAGAGAAACTACCTTGTGTTTGCAGTCGATATCCGCATAAGCCTTACACGATTCGAATGCTTTGATTCCTTGAGCTGATTTTAGTTTGCATAGAATCCTATCTGTATGTACAAGCTGGTGAATAACAAGTGGTGGTGCTAATCTTTTCTTGGTACTGAGGCTGGAGACAAAAGTCAAAAAGGCTACGTTCAAGAATCTTCGAAGAAGTCAATGTGATGTGTAACACTAACAGAATGTACGATAAAACCTAACTCACCAATACATCATGACAATACCACGGCCAATAATGGTCGCATGATTTTTTTACTTTTTTATTTCATTTTACTTGACCCATCTTCACATCTACTCTGCGGATACCAGCACTTCTCACATTCAATTCGTTTCGTTGCATCTACTGTCCACGAAGATCTTTCAACATTATGTGCGGCTTCAGTTGTTGCTTGAGAATTTTTCATTTCATCTTGAATGTCGTAGAATGCTAGTCGAGTCGATTCTCCTTGGAGTTCTGAGATATCTGGTCTAGAGCTTCCTAGCAGGTTTAGAGGGTTCCCACTTGGACTGCAAAGAGTGTTGCTTTCCCAGACAAGTCGGGTACCAATTTCCCGGCCCAGGATGGATGACAGGCTTGATTGGCCCGAAGAGGAATCGAACTAGTACTATGTTCGTGATCACGAACATCACTACTACTGTACGGTCCGATGATTTGTTTAATTTAGTTGCTTGGATTTGGCTCTGTCCATCGTCATCGAGTAACCAGTCGGCAAATCACGGGACTTTACTGTCATCACAGGATTTGCTTTTGTCCTGAAAAAATAAATCGTAACTCAGTAAACCTCCCTCATATCCATAATAGCTAACACTTCCAGTGATGATGACTTGAGGGAGCCCATGCACGACGTCTAGAGGAAAAATAACGCTCCAGGGCCAGCATTCATTCCAAATCACTAGCATGTTGCATGTCAATGGAACTAAAAATCCAGAGACTAGTTGCAATCGGTTCAGCGCGGACCTAGCCACCGTTTTGGATTATAGTTTCAAAAAGACAAAACAAATGAATTTTCAATCGTTATGGAAACAACTTGTTAAGGGCGCGTGTGGCGCAGTGGTCGGAGGCACGCTGCAACACACGTGGAATCGATACCATCGCCCACGGCCCACCAAGCCTTCCATCCCTCCGGCGTCGGCAAATTGGTAGCAGACTTGTCTGGGAGGATAGCAGTACTGTCTTGATACATCGGTGGGCCACCACGAATCATTGTAAAGGCCAGATGTGCATTCAGTTACCTCCAAACGATGTTTAATGAAATTTGATCAATGGAGAGAGCTTTATCCTTTTTTTATGGAGACAACTTGTTAAGACATTTGCCTATTTTCCTTCTTCTTTGCTTTCTCCAATGAGTGTTCCATGTGTTGTTATTATTAGTGAAGAGACCAATCACACAGGCCTCACATGGATCGATAATGTGCCTCCTTTTCAAATTAAAATATCCGAAATGTATCCCGAAGATATCCCAAATATGTTACACACAACGTTCATAAGTATGTGAATAGTTGTGGTTGTGTATATGTAGATTGTCCCATACCCATCGGTTCAAATAAAATTACGCGAGCAAATAATCTGGAAGGGCATCGAAGGCAATATGTCATCTGTAGCATGAAGGTGTACATTGATTTCAAGTGAGGTCAGTAAGGTGTTCGAGTGCTGGTGTGTTTAGCGAACTCAAACGGTTGTAACGCCTAACGTGCTATCCATGCTTGCCCTCTGTAAATTATTGAAAATAACGTACCATAGGGAACCATATAGGATGTGTGGTGTTGTTCGTACCATTCGATCGATAGCGGAGTAAGTACATTATTGGTGACACACTCGCAATCACAACTATTACAAGTAGTGCGAAAGGTTGACTGATATGATAATTGGTACTTTTCTTAATGACGAACTTTTAGGGAGGAATGACATCACAGTATGGCTCAGAGATTGCGTGTACATCAATGGAAGCGCTTACCGAAATAGTCAATTACTTCATAATGATGAAACATCCGATTCCTCCGTTACTCGCCCAGCATTTCACCGAAACAATCCCAGTCAGTTAACTCGAAAGACTTATTTTCAGTTAAAATCGGCATTAATAAATAAGTTGTATCCTACGAACTCAGGTTGATGAGTTAACACGGAGGTGGGTTTTTAGTTTGGAATAGCTAACGCTTCGACTACTTTTTTTCCTCAGAGCCTTTTTTACGTTATGATTTTCACAGTCGTATTTTTTTGTTATTTTCATTCGTGATGAATTTCTTTCAGTTAGCGTTCGAAACTTGTTTGGAGAATAGCTGTGAGAATGCGGTATTTAACGACGCAGTTTCGTGTCTCTATAGTTTAATCTGCTTCGATAAGGTATTTATTTTTCGCAATTATATATCTTATGTACCTCGGATGCTATTCAGTTTGCTATTCATTTACCTGATACTTATTACACAACGGCAGTGATTTGGTTATATCTGTAAATAGGTTCTTACGAACTGCCTTTTTTAGCCGACGTGAGGTTGGTATAAATGTTCCTGTTGTTTTTTTGTTGTAGTCTCGCGTCGCCTAAAAATCGACTATTATGCCGAGATTTATAGAAAGTCGAACTTTTGAGCTATTAAGTGATTTGGTTACCCATGATATGGACGGTTGTAGTTATAACCAGGTATCAAAAGTGATGCAGCACCCATATAGCGCTTGCTCTGAAGAATTTCAGCAAAGAACTCATATATACCGCAGTAAAAACAATTTCTATAATCATTAAGTCATTAAAGCGTAATCATCTACACACAAGTGCGACCTAAAGCAATGAATTGAGTTCTAATGAGCATATCATTCCTTTATAAGAGTTTAGAAGACAGTTATTTTTCTAAATATTTGCTTCTTATTATTTTTCTAAATGTTTGCTTCTTATTTTTTGCCTACTACACTTTTTACGGTAGGGTATTATGCAAAACACAACCACAACGATGCTGAGACATTTGCAAAACTCCGTACTGCGGGTGTCTGCTGTGGGAAACGAACGCGCTACTACCCTTTCCAGAGGCTAACGCGTTCACCACCATACCATGCGGGTTCTTCATTCCGCTTGTCTCTCAGCTAGGTTTCTATTGATCAGTGCCATCAGCAATCACCCCATCAACGAGATTCATCTGGAGAGCCCACTTCGGCATTGAACCCAGTTAAGCTGGGGCTGTTGTTAAAATCACAATTTTATCTTTTTGTTTTCTGTCTACTACAATTTTTATGGCAAGATATTATGCGAAATACAACCACAACTATGCTGAGATATTTACAAACTAGGTTGAATGTTGATGTGGGCTCCCAATACCGTTGACGGGTGATTGCTGATGGCACTGGTCGATAGAACTAGCAAAGACACAGGCGAAACGAAGGACCCGCATTTCGTATTGGTGAA